TTTGTTTTTTGTCTATTGCGCGATTAAGATTTATAAGATTTTAACATGTTTCCTTAGAAATATTGATTGTCTCAGAAAGCCAATATTATATTTTGTTCGTATTTTTATAGATATATTTAWTATTTTTTTTTTCGTAATAGTTATTTGTTCATTTTGTATTGCTATTGTTTACACGAAATTGCAATATGTAAAATGCGTTATAACAATAAAAAAAAATATATTTTATAATAACAAGCTCCCCACAAGCCCCCCAGATTCCCCCAATTTTGAATAAATAGAACAGTGATTTTGTAATTTCAACTATAACACTTTAATTTATATATACCTATATATACTTTTTTTTAATGAACTTCATTTTAAGTTCATACAAAAATTGCGTGTAAAAAAACTTTTAGTGCCGTTGTAGTGATTTTTGAAAATATTATTATGATTTTTAACAAGAATTCATAAACAGCCGCGATTTATGATGGTTATAATTATAATAATAATAATGATGATAAAAAATCGTACTAATTTAGTAGATGATAAAAAAAATAATTAAAATTAAGATATAGCTGCTCATGAACGAAATATTTTTTTTCTCAAAAATGATAACTTTCAGACTATTGAAATACAATTATAAATTCGGTAACGCAGTGTATAAAATAATGTTCGAAATCAATAATGTACAGTTATTCAACTTACACACTAACATTTTTTTTTAACCACTTTACATTTGATATTTACAATTATAAAAAAAAAAACAAATAACAATTTTGTTTTTATATATATAAAGAATTTTCTAAAGAATAATACTGTATAAGGTACAGCATATTCCGATACATTTTTTTCAAATTTTTATTTTTTTCTTAAATATTTTTTTTTAAATTGGCTCTCCTAAGATATTTTCTCATAATTTATTTTATAATACATAGGCGATTATAATTTTAAACTACACTCTTGACAATACTAAAACATTATACCGTACAACGAGTGTTATACATATTTCTTTCACTTTTGGTGTTCTACATAATACACATTATTATTATAATCAAATTTTATGATTATGAGACAATTATATAAACGATAAATTATTTATTTAAGTAAACTATTATACAACGAGATTTTATGCTGTACAGAAAAAGTTACCGATGGGTGTAGCGCTAACACGTTGTCCATTTTCGGTCTAAATCGCAGCGGCGAGGCTCGAAAAGTGGGGCAGATCACACATTGTGTACAACACGATCGAATAAAACGGAAAAAAAAATTTTTAGTGGGAAGGGATTGTAGAAGATATCGGGGTTTGGGGTGCATCAAATGTATTGTTTCTCCTGGCGATAACGGTCATCAAAACAAACGAATTCATCAGACCCACGAATTGAAATGAATGTGTATACCCGGACCTGACCGTTAGCCGGACAAAAGAAAATTATATATTAGAGATATCATATTATTGTATCCTCTCTCGACGAGAAAATTACATTTTCTAAAACGCACATTGAACCATACTTCATTCCACTAATACATACAGGTAGGACATTGAAACATAGTAACACGCACGGACACACAACGACACGTACATATACACACAGCCACTTACCCAAAATAAGGGTACGTGCTCATACAAGATCGATGGAATTTTACATCGTAGGTTTGACTCTAAGCTATAAAATTTCAACTAACTGTACTCGCACGTACATATTATTTTGTGAATGTGTATTGTGTTAGAGAGAGTATATGAATATGYATATGTGTCTGTGTATGTGGGCTTAAATACTCGAATGCGCGAAAGAGTGAAATCGTAACACAGTGATTGGGTGGATATGTTCAGGGTGGAGTTTGAATCGACGATCACGTGCTTCGATGCGTACCGACCCGACATCTAGCGTATGGATCAGATGATGACATCATAATAGTTGCATATCAGACGTGTTCTAATATCGATGAGTGGACATACAACAGACGTTGAAAGGCCTGTGGTTCTTGGCGTTTTGTTGTTCAATATGAAAATAATTGGGAGTTTAAACATCAACAT